TTGCAGAGATAATTTGGTTCTGGTCTCATTAGTGGCTGATAGCAACAATTGTATACTATTATTAGGACTGTTCTGGGCAGCCATGCTTTCTTTTATCTTAAAACTTCAATCTCCAGTTCCACTAGCACACAAAGGAGCTTGGTTCAACATTTCCAGTAATTTTACTTCACTTTCAAAATGGAGGGATTAAAAGCCATAGTTTTCAATGTCATCTTGCAATGCTTTGCATAAAATCTATTGAAGCAAAATGCCCCTTCAAAGTTCTGACTGGCCTCATCTCTACATTCAGGCTGGATTTACCTATAACATTAAATCCTAATAGAGACCATCAGTTCAATGCAGGGGTTTCCAAACTTGACCCTTTTATGACTTGTGGACTTCAACTCCCAGAATTCCTCAGCCAGCGTGCCTGCCTGAGGAATACTGGGAGTTGAAGTCCACAAGTCATAAAAGGGCCAAGTTTGAAGAGCCCTGCCTTACAGCATCCTTTTTTCCTGTCTTCCTTAAAGGGGCTGTTTGCTCTGATCTCATTCAGTCAGGCTTACTTTCCTTATGACATGGGAGCTGAGATAAAATTATTCATCTTTTTAAGCTGCCTCACCTTAAAGCCAGTCTCTTACCAGTGTTTCTCAACTTTAACAACTTTAAGATATGTGGAACTCAACTCCCAAAATTCCTCAGGCTTTTACTCCAAAAGTGCAAAGGCATCACTTATCTTGCTTTCTTTGCAAGACTTAGCAAGGCATAACCAATCGGCATAGACAATTCTGCAGGTGCAGTTTGAGTGTTTTCCAGCAGATGTCAGACCACCAGCGCTTGAATAAAAATAACTTATTGCCTAGATCAGGGGTCTGCAACCTTGACAATTTTAAGACTTGTGGATTTCAGCTCCCAGAATTCCTCAGCCAGCATAGCTGAATTCTGGGAGCTGAAGTCCACAAGTCTTAAAGTTGTCAAGGCTGCAGACCCCTGGCCTAGATCCAGAGGGCAAATCTCAATGACACTTCTATTTCTAAGGACACAGAAACATCTCCCAATGAATCAAAAACTGCCCACTACACACAGAGACATGATGAATATGGGAATTTGCTAGGAAGCAGCAGTCAATTCATGACTACAGAACTGTGTTAGGTAAGACAAATAATTGGTTCTTGTTCACAAGTAAATTCTTAACCCCAATAGTTATTTTTTTTTTTTAGTTGTGAGGCTGTTTCTTTCCAGCTGTATGTGAACTTACTTTTCAAACCAAATCAACAATGTAGGATGGTGGTTTTTTAAGTTCTACAATCAGATCAAAAAATGTAGTAAGTCGTATAGAATAGCAATCCCCAACCTTTCCAGCTCCACGGACTGGCAGCAGTAGCGGTGTTGGTGTTGGTATGCACAATCTAGCTCCTATGCCTGCACAAATAAAGCTTCACGTACTCGCCCACCACTTGTGCGATCTGGTTCCTAATTGGTCGTGGACCAGTACGGATCCTGCTATGGAGTTCATATATTGTACGTCTATCTATAATTTAACATTAATGTTAATATAATTTAATGTTAATGTTAATATAATTTAATGTTAAATATGTCCAAGGCAGTATCTTAATATCCAGCATTAATTTACAGCAAATTAAATCAAAGAAAAACAGTGTAGGCGCTGTCCCAATATTGAATGTTAAATTCATCTGCTGAATTGCTTCTACATGTTAGTTCAATGGCCCTATATGCTAATTAAAGGCATGGAAGAAACAACATTTAGATAAGAGACAATTGATCATAACTTTCTTTTATATTATGCTTTCCAAAATATTTGAAGACTCTTATCATAGTGTATCTTAGTTCAGTCAACCTGGCTTTGTTTTCAACAAATCTATTCTTTCTCTATGATGAATATGTTCATTGTTGTCACTCGTGCATCTTTAGAATTGTATATGTTCTTGAGATGCTGTCTATACTTGAGGGTTTACAAATCCCACTATCTTTTCCTTGTACCAGTGCAACATCTCAGAATTTTAATAGCAGATAAGCTGTGCAAAGGTGTAGCACATCAAGTGAAGTTTATCATGCACGGAGATAATGAGTAAGTTCTGCTTTGACAGTAAATACTCCTAGACCAATTACCCGGGAAACCCATGGAGAAAGCAACGACTAAGGGAGGAAAAAACATCAAATTTCAGCTTTGGCAACAGTTTTATTATGACAATCATTTGCTTGGGGCTGCTTATATTAAACTGAAAAAGAAATTCATTCAGTGAGATTTGCCACAACTCCACAAAGAGAGCAATTACCTTGATATACAAGTAGTCCTCGTTTAACAACTACTTGTTCAGCAATTATTCAAAGTTATGTCAGTGGCGAACGAGAGGTACTTACAACTAGTTCTCAAAGTTCCAGGCATGCCTGCAGTCATGTGATTAGCAACTGGCTCACGTTTACAATGGTTGCTGCCTCCCTCAGTCATGTGATCACCATTTGCAATCTTCTTGCTGGTTTCCCTTAAGAAAAATCAATGGGGAAGCCAGCAGAGAAGATCACAAGTCACTTTCCCTTACCTGGCAGCAGCTATCCCTGGCCCTGCTGTGCCCACATTGCACTGGCCACCCATACACTCCTCAGCAGTAGCCACTTACCTGCCTACCAGCCTCCTTGCAAACCACTGAGACTTTCTTAACCTGAAATCCTCACTTAAAGACAGCAATGGGGAATGTCAGCATTGCTATCTCTAAATAAAGCAACCACATTATGTCACTTTATTACCACATGACTTGGTGATGGAAATTCCAGTCCCAATTACAATAGTTATACCGGACTATTTGTATAAGCTAGGGAGTGGCAGCCCAAGTAAACTATATGGGTTCTTTTTTTCTGTCTCTTTTTCTCTCACACACATACATAAAATAATTGGCCATCTTAACCTGGGAAACTTGGAATCTGGATTTCTGTAAACAATTGTCCAAGCCATTTTTAAAGAATATTGGGTACCTCTGATCACTTTTCAGTATTCTGGCTTATTCTCTTCAGAAACTGGGTGTAGAATGAATTGTTGGAAACTGCAGATAAATACATCTCAGGTAAATTATAGGGAGAAATTTCCTAATAGAAAGTGATGCTTGTCAGTGGAATAGACAGCCTCGGGAAATGAACTCCACTTGAGACATTTAAATCACCGTGTTATTGCATTCTGCATTCAGGTTCTGTCCAGAACAAGGAATCATTTTATGACTATGCCAATTTGTGAGTTCAAAGAAAACAGGATTAAGCAACTACTTAGATAAAACTTACCCTGTCTGGACTGAATCTACTTGCATGCATGCCAAAAGATGTGTGATGCACATATGCACAAAGACTTTTTCACATCTAAAAACCTAAATGTGGGTTGATTTAAACCTTTGATGGTGACCGGCTGAGATTGAATAACTTTTTAAAATAAAGTTTCTGGTCAGATTACATTATCTTTCTCCTCCAATAACCCTATTCAAAATTGGTGTCCAAATTGTGATTTGCAGCAAAAAAGAAAAAGAAAAAAAATGTGTTTTGCAAATAGGGTGAAAACTTAGGAAAATGGGTGGCATTTATTCAGATTCCTTATGGAAAACAAATATTCTACATGAATACAGTATTTCTGCTGCCTGATTTTTTTAAACAGATTGTACGGTTTTAATTCCAATTATATACTGGGGAATTCATATGCTCTTCAGAGTTGGCATACTGGAGTGAAAATAAAGTAATTGAAAGCTCCATGAAGTTGGTAGACTGTGATTGCCAACAAACTGTGCTTACCCAATCACAGTGCTGAAAGTATTATTTAAATTTAACAGTGGGGACATTTATTCTACACGTTAAGAGGTTCAATTCTGCTTTTATTGCTTTATAAAAGTTCTATGTTTTGGGCCCTTCCTATCATACTCAAATTTGCATTCAGTTTGCATTTCCTGGACAGTGGTCCATCAGCTGTTCCATAATGCAATTAGCAATAGGGGCTATTTGTACATGAACAGTACTTCAGTCCATTTCTTAGTTGTATATAAACATTGCTTCAGCACATTTCTAATCACAATTATGTCCAAATTTAAGCCTCTGAGAAACAACAGCTAATAGTCTTTTCAATGCCACATATTTTCCCCCCCTTCTAACCCCAGATTTTTTTAAAAAAAAAAAAAAACACCCCCACATACATGCTTCTTTTTTTACTAGAAGTTCTATTTAGGGTTGTTTTTACTCATACAAATTCAAATCTGGGATTCACATAACTAAAGAATATACAGACTGCAAGGTGGTTTTTTTATGTAAAGATAAATGCATAAATGTCCATAGAAAAATTGTGAAGACACTATGGGCAACACCCCCCCCCCAACACAGCCTGATTTCCATTTTGATTGTAATAGTTTATTGCACTGCGTGCAAAATTCAACTTCCTGACAATGGTGTGTAGGTAGGTGTGTTGCATTTGAAAAAAGAGCATTATGATTATAGCTTTTCAGTGCCCTAAATATCTGCTCATCTTTTTGGTGGCTTTCTATTTCTACTGTTCCTTGTGGCTGGCAACAATTCTTTGGCAGCTTCTGGTAGAGTTTTTTTCCCATAATTTCCAATCTGGTTCTTTTAATCAAAAATGGCCTAGCTGGAAGCTGGGACTTTGTGTTGCAGAAAGTATGCATTTTAAAACTGATGTAGATTTGTTAGAATAATGAGAGCCACACAAGGCCACATGGAGTGGGGATAAAGATGCAAAGTGAGAAGGATCATGTAACATAGGTGGTTGGGTCAAGGATCTTTATTTAGTTTGTGGTGTCAGGATTGTGGTTCTTTAAAAAAAAATCTTAACTATTTTAGAACTTAATTACAGTTTTCTTGTTTCCCTCTCAGAATAATGGGAAACCACACTGCCCATTTTCAACAACTGTGGTCAGAGAAAGGTCTTGTAAAGGAAGGCTGCTATGATCCTTGTACCTTAAGTATTCATATATAAAAAACATATAAAGCAAATAAATAACCAAATTCAGAGACAATCATTCCTCTTTTATATGAATAAAAGTTTTATTATTTTTTAGACAATTAGAAAGAAGAAAGAAAGAGGAGAGGGAACAGTAGAACCAGGAAGAGCTTTCTGAGCACTAGTCGTTGGCTGCTGTAAGCAGCATCTCTTGAAAATGTCTTGTGTTTCCCATTGTTAGAAAAGCAGAGAGGGAGAAAACGTGTTTATGTAGCATTTTTGTTTTCACTACCTTAAAAAAAGCCATTCTTCTTTCTTCTAAGCTATCACCACTCCAGCACTCCCTAATGCCATCACACAACTTCCAAATAATAAAAGGAGAAACCGGCAGTGAATAGGGGAGGAGAGATACTGCTCCCTAGGAAATATGTATAAATACAGCAGCCATCTGTCTTCCTGGTGTGCTCTGAAACTGATGGAGCAAGTCCATTAGCAGTATTTTGGGGTTGGGGGGGAGAGAAGAAAAATAAATGAGAAGGAGAGGTGTTAAAAAAACAAGCAAAAAAGGCACAGCTAAGCTTTAAACCTAGTTCAACCCAGAGGGTTCTCTTGACGATGGCCGTCACATAGATGGTATATGGCCTATGAAGAGAGCTCTCCTAATGGCCTTAACACCCATTTGGAAAGGAAAACAATGAAGTTAAGTGAAGCAGAATGGGAAGTGAAAGAGCAGTGGAGATTCTCTTGGAACCTCATTTCCAGTGCAGTTTGGAACGTGGAAGAGAGCCAGTGGAAGAAGGTCTACCTAATTCCAGGCTTTGATCAGAAGGATATATTTTGTCAGTGCAGAGAAGGAAATCCTGTTAGGAACTTCCAAAGGAAGTTTATTTAAGACCAGTGTGTCAGTGATCAATGAGGCAGGTGCGGACAGCAGGGCTCAGTGAGGCCTCCCTGGCTGAGCCTCCTCGAGGTATTCAGAAATGTATTCCCTTCCCACCCAATCCCAAGCTCCCTATGAAGCATGGAAGACCCTCACTTTCCTTTCTTTTCGAATTCTCCATTGTTGTTTTTCAATTAAGGCTAATGAAATTACAAGAGTGAAAACTGTCACCATGGGCTACCATTTAGAGCAGACCACCCTTCAAGAAAAGAGAAAGGAGGGGCGGGGTAGCCATTGTCTATCTTTCTGCTGCTCTTAAATTCCTTGCTTTATTCCTCCCCCTATTCCTTCCTTCCTTCCTTCCTTCCTTCCTTTCCTTCCTTCCTTCCTTCCTTCCTTCCTTCCTTCCTTCCTTCCTTCCTTCCTTCCTTCCTTCCCTTTCCTTTCCTTTCCTTTCCTTCCCTTCCCTAGTATAATGTCCAAGATATCCTGTAAAGGAAGGATTAAAATGGATGCTTTGAATGTGTGAATGGTCAACTATCAACCTGACCATGCAGGCCAGCCCCACACAGCCATATATGGGGACATGCCATGCAGATGCCAAAAGCTTTGGAAATCTAGCTCTTTTGAGAAATGCCAGCCACACACCCTAGAAAATACACAGCCAGTTCAGTTAAGCAATGGAGGCTTTAGCTTTCCACCCCATACCATGCCCTCCCCAAATCCCTCAACAACAGCCAAACAACAGCAACAACAGCAGCAGCAGGCCAATCAGATGCCAAGCAGCCCATTAGGGAACAAGGCCAAAGTGACCAGAGTTGCCATGGAGGTGACAAGGGATGTGAGAAGCATCCAGAAAACTAGTGCAAGAGAGAGAAAAATCCAATTTGGAGAATGACATAAAGCAGGAGAAGGGAGGAAGAATAAAGAACTCCAGAAAAAGAATTAAATAAAATAGAACTCTCAAGTCAATTGTCCTCCCTCCCCACTTCTTTTGCCCCAGCTTATTTTTTTCCTCTGCTTTTTTCCTCTGAGATCAGTAGTCACAGACAGAATGTCACCAGTTCCCCCTCACCATTGTCTGTTTTGAGCCAAGCAGCAATGGGCTAACGCCAAGGCAGCTGATCTGATCTACTGACCTCTGGACTTTATAAATTCCATCTGGTTTACCATACTAATAGAAATTTCATATAGCAGACCTTAGAAAGCAAGTATGGTCTCCTTCCCCTGATGCCTTAAATGGTCTCCTTTTGACCTTGGCACATACAGCCATAGCTGAGGAGCCCCTGAGATCACGAGGGTGGGGTAATAAAGGAGGGATCATCACATCAGTTAGGTTCAGTTGATTGGGGTAAGGGAAGAACACAGATCTTCCCCTCCATTTCAGGGAGGAAGAGGAGAGTCTCTTATTGGGCCCATCTTCACTCCCACTTACTGTAACAAATTCGCAGAACCACAACCATTTTTTACACCAAAGAGCCCGCTCGGCTCTGTGCTGGTACCATTACAGGCACAGCACCTATCCTCTCCAGTGTTGCTTGGCTTACAGCATAGGACCATGTGTGTTGGGGTCGTGGTTTCCGACTCACTGATCCATTACTCCTGGCCATCTCCTGTGGAGATGGAGCTGTATTGGTTGTCACTACCAATGTCTTCGGTGGAGGGGGTGCTGGATGACCTCCATTAGCATATATAGAACGGGCATTGGTGCTTCCAGAACGAGAGAAGGCCTGCCGTGCGTCACTGTTGAGGTGAGTGAAAGAGTCTGTAGCATGGTTTGCTTTGGGGTCATTCCAGTATCGGCTGTTGTAGGTATTGGAGGAGGTGAGAGTGTCATTTTCAGATGAGGAAGCATCACCATGGAAGGCTTTTGTGGATGAAGAACATTTGGGTGGCAAATCATCCTCCCTAAGAAAAAGAAAGACATAACTACGATTCTGTTCACACTATTTCCTCAATATCATTCATTTCCAAAACAAACAGGAACACTTCCTCGCTTACTGACAAGCATGCATTAAATAATTAACACTGAACAGCAAAAAAAAAACCCAATCATTTCACATCTTTAATACCAATATCTTAATTCTTGCCCAAATATGCAAGCACTGACACCACAACTTTAAGTTTTACATTCTAATTTTTCATTCTGTCAAAGCTGATATACAGTGATAATGGACAAAGGCAGAAATTAACCATGGTTATTTCTTATGTTATTGCCATTAACTAGCATTAAAGGGAATTATTTTCTCTTGAGACTTGATTGCTGGTTTTGATTGCCATGACTGATCAACAAACTATACTTTTCTTACCAGGAATATTGCATGTAACCCTCTTGCTAACATGTCAGAAATGATGGATGAGACTTGCATTGCACTTATGCCTACTCCATTAATAAATGGCACTGCATAGCCATACCATTACTAGTATTATAAAAATTAGGAATGAGAATCTTGTATGCTAACATCTAATTTGGATTCATTACACTCAAATGAGATTTTACTGTAACATCTTTCTCTTGAAACCTGGAGACAATCTTGCTTGGAAGAAAGGGAAGAAATTTGGAAGGGTAGACAAAGTATTTTCCAAGGCCAAACCTGATCTCATTGGGAATCTCCTCCTCCTCTTCCTCCTTGTGTTTGTTTTTCCAATAAAATAGTGTAACGGCCACCAAGACAATGCAGACAATAAGCACAACTGCCCCTGCTGCTGCAACTCCAGCAATCAGACCAATATTCCGAGGGTTAGCTGTGTGGGACATGGAACACATGCAAAATCTGAGTAGAAAGAACACATGAGCGTGTTCAAAGAACCACAGCAGGCATCAGGAAAGACCAGCTGTATTCCTAAAAGTAGCCAAAAATCACTTACAAAAAAGCATCTATGAATCAAAAGTTCAGTGTAAGAAATCTGGTGCAGAATGAGTATGTGCTGGATGTTGTCTTACATATTCTTCTAACTTGTGATATAACACTAGAGGTTATTAACATCTTCCCAACCTTTTGTCACACTAGAAATGTTTCCATATGCACATTTCAGATGGATTCTGGCATTCATCCAAACAAGAGAGCTTTTAGCAAAGTGAAATTATCCCATGCAATCTGCACATAGCCAAAACAGCTTTAAACCCATTATGAATGTCTGAAGTCCTGGGGACAAGGTGATAGGGCAAATTAACAATTATACAAGGTGATAGGGCAAATTAAAAATTAACAATTATACAGAGAATCTAATGTAGGATTGCTGTGTCTGTGTGAATTTTTATTTATTGCTCTTGTTTTAGAAAAGCAAACAACTTCATAAACTTAGCTAATTTCTTCTTAAATAGGTAGAGTTTTAAAGAGTGTAAGGTTCTCCTGCTTGAGCAGGGGGCTGGACTAGAAGACCTCCAAGGTCCCTCCCAGATTCTATTCTATTCTATTCTATTCTATTCTATTCTATTCTATTCTATTCTATTCTATTCTATTCTATTCTACTCTACTCTAAAAAAATCTCTGTCTCCACTCAGATAGCATTAACTTCTTTGTGTTGAACTAAATGACTGAATTTTGGGATATCTTCAAGTATTTGCCTATATTTGAGTTGGTAATTAGCATCCTGTCTGCTGCCAATATAGAATAGAGACAAAGTGGTATATGAACATCTTCACACCAAGGTCTTCCTTGATCCCCACTGCTGTCACCCTTCTTGTTCTAACAAGTTGATGCAATGGTGCACAGTGTTAATGAGGCTGCCATAACTTTAATAGTTATTCAGTGATTGCTGACAGACACCTCTCCTTTAGTGGTGATGCATTGAACAGGCATAAAAGGATCTTGCCTCTGCTGGAAACAGCCATATCTATTGACTATGACAATACAGGTATCCTACAACAAAATGTGTCAATTTCTTTAAAATGTGACAGAAAAAAGCATTTGATTTTGAAACAACGAAATACATAAGGAGGTAAAACAGAAATAGTTTTACTGAACTAAAATTTCCTTGAGTGCTTTTATCTTCCCCAAGGCCTTCCAATATGGGTTGGAGGTAAAATACAGAAATGAGAATTTACACTTTTCTACTGTGCTGCAGTTACAATTCAACATCCCAATAATATTGCTTTGGTGGTACAGTTATTATGTTTCTCTTTCTATAATAACAGCTGTAAGATGCAATTTAGACTTGAGATGTGTGCAGAAAATAGACCTTCCTTGAAAAACTAAATCACTTATAGCTGTTTGTAGAAAAAAATAAAATTGTACAAGAAAATTCAATTATCATTCAGCCACATAATAGTTCATTTGCTCTAAATGTCTGGTGTAGTGAGAGAGAACCTTTCTCTAATGCTGACCTTCCTGTAAGAAAGGTCAAAGATGATCAGAACCAGCAAGGTTAGGGATGTTAAAGAAATTTGCCGCAGAATTTCTATGAATTGGTAGAATCTACCAAAATAGGCTTTTCAGTAATATAGGCAGCAGCAGATAGCAGTAGCATCCATCACTTAGGCCAGGGGTTCTCAACCTTGGCAACTTTAAGACTTGTGGACTTCAAGTCCCAACTCCCAGCAAAGCTGGCTGAGGACTTCTGGGAGTTGAAGTCCACAAGTCTTAAAGTTGCCAAGTTGAGAACCCTTGACTTAGGCCAAAAAACAGGAAAAAAATTCATTTAATTATAGCAAGAACCCCAAACAAAAACTTATATTTGGGAAAGACTATACAAAAGTGTGTATAAAGTTTTTTTAATGAACATAAGAGACATTCATATTAAAAATCATATTGGATAAATGTAAATTAATGTATTTTGTGTTTGTGTGTGCATCTGTTTATATGTATGTATGTATATATGTATGTATGTATGTATGTATGTATGTACTTAATAATATATAAATACTTAATATTTTACACATTTCCCAGACATTCTATGCAATGCCAAAAGGCAAACCAGCAAAGCATAAAATACTCCTGTTAAAATACCATTCTAGCCTGCCTTGCTGCAACAAGTTGGTCAATACTGGTCTTTTCCTCTTGTTTTTTCAGTAAGAAAATCCTTTATTTTGCATTTCTTTTTTCATTTTCATATATGTCTTCTCAATAAAGGGTTAGGGTTTTCAAAGTTTTCATACTTTGAATAGTTCTTGTCCTTTTGCATAATGCCTAGATATTGTATACAATGCCTAGGGAAAGTATAAAATATATTAAAATAACACAGAGATTCATAGTGTGCCTAAAAACCTCACGCATTTTGTAAATTTCATAGTCATTCTATACAATGCCAGCTTTTCACACATGGCTGGTAACTTGTATAAGGTTTGATGGTTTTTCTAATGTTAAAAAAAGGCAATGGAAAGGATTATTACCTGAAATTCTGCAATATTAATATAGATAGATTTATAAAGCTGCACTGATATTAATACAAGATAACATTCTGTATACTATATCTAACTCACGTGTAATCACTTGAACTTCAAGAGAACAGGTGCTGCTTCCAATGACATTGGATGCCATACATTGGTAACGTCCTGATGACAAAGAGCTAATATTGCGCAGAAAAAGAGTACCCTGAACTAGATCTAAACAGGAAAGACCAAAAACAAAATAAATAAAATCTTCTAAATTAAAGTGCAATTTATATAAGGGAGAAGAACCATTTTATCACAATTTTGAAAATGCAAATCCAACAAAACCTAAGTTGTAATGTAAGGCTCTTAAAAGACAGATTACAAAATAACCTTCAGATGAAAGCATCTTTTACAAATGAAGCTAGAGATTAAGAAACTTACAGTGGTCATTTTCTTCTGAAAGACTGTTATTATAATTTGAAAGCTCACGACCAAAAGAACACAATAAGAAAACTAAAAGAAAAAAAAAACTATCACCAGTCTATTACTTTAATTTGAACTAGTCAGCTTTTCTTCTTCTTTTTCTTTCTTGTTTTGTCTTTGCATTGCTTCCCTTTTCTTCCATTTTTCTTCTCCCAGAAAACATTTCAGCTCATGAATCAAGACTCACCAATGAATTTAAGAAAACTAACCACAGATCACATTGTACAATATCTTTTCTCCATTTAATCAAGCCTTCCCAACAAATACACTCTGATTCCAATTTCCTGAAAAATGTCAGGTTTTAGAAGGCTGTTCTAAATTTTGCTAATAAAAATTAAGAGAGTGTTGCAAATCAACAAATACATGAATACTTAAGTAAATTTTGGAGTGCAAAATAAACATTTGTTAAACTGTATGAAATATTTAATAGGAATAAAGTGATATAGTTTTTTAAATGCCTCATTTTAAAAGCTGTCTCTCAATCGAGAATCATAAGAAGTTTTAGATAATGTTTCCAGGAAGATTATTTTCATTCATATCTTTGCCACGCTCTAGTCCTGAGTTTTAAGTGCTTAACTAAACATGCCAATCAATTTTGTAAGTACTATATATATAATATACTATGAAAAATCTTTAGAAAAAAAATGAAGCTAGGCTATATCTCTGGCTCCTGGAAAAATAGTTTCCCATGTACAAGGTACTACTGACATATCAATAAGATTCAGATGAGCAATTTTCAATTTATAGAGTACTACCATCACTACCACTGTGACAGATATTCCACATGCTTTATTGACCCAAAGTCTATGTTCAAAATCAGTTCTACTATAGTAGAATAGCTGTTTGTGATTTTGATCCGCTGATACTATAATTGGAAGTAACTGTTTGCTAAGACCTTACGAAAGTCTTCTTGTAGTTGTTGTTATTGTTTCTGCTACAAATTGCTGAAGATACCTTCTAGCAAAAAGTCAGTTTATGTTACATATTTGTATTGATTTCCTACATTTGTTTTGTATATTTTTAAAGTTTTTCCCAAGGATGCTTTGTCAGATGTAATGAAACCCTGCATAATCAATGAAAAAAAAAAGATGATTTTAAAAATAAAAGCTAAAAAAAAACTAAATTCCAAGTGTATTGTTAACCATTGCTGCCTTTATACATAATAATCTATAGTCTGCAATCAATGCTACCAATGGTTGGCTTATCACCCAACTTGGTGATATACATAGGTTCTGCAAGAAGCATATAAGAGAAGCTTATCTGCATATTTAACAGAAACTTTCATTCCGACTTCTGACCAATCTCTTTATATGAGCATTAGCAAATTTAAACAACTTTATCTTTTCCCAAAGTATGTTTTGTTCAACATTAGAATGTTACTTCTTTCCTATTGAAACAATGTTATATCATAGCTTCAGACTGATTTTCTCTTTCAGTCAGAAAAAGGGGTGCATGAAATGTTGCTGACTAATCAAACAGAAGCTGAGGATTCTGTTCAGTCTGGAATGCACTCAACAGTGTTCCAAAAGAACAGTTTTGGGTTTTAACAATCAAACACAGAGCCTCTGAATTCATCTCAAGAAAAAAAGACTTTTTAAAGTTATTTCAGAACAGGTTGAGACAGAAGAGAGCAGGAGAAGCACTGGGTAGAAATATATCTCAACTGAGTGTTAAGATCAATAATCAAAATTTTGTTCCTGCAATCTGTTTTCCTGAAATTTCAGATTGCTCACCTGTGTTTTTGGCTTTGTTTCACTTGATTGGATCAAAAACATCCTATTTACAATCTACCATTACTATTCTAACTTTTTAAAAAAAGTTTTATGTTGCAAATACTTAGAAGTTTGGAACATTCATTTTTTAAAACATCAAGTACTGTGTCCTTGAAACAACCAAATATAAACTTATTTAAAATAACAGTACAATTGAATTATTACAATAATCTTTTATGACTTCTGTGAACATGATTCTTTTTGATTAAAAAAACCCGAAACAAGCAAAAGAACATGCATCTATTCTTTGATATTTCTGTCTTGAATCATCCTCTTCAGAGTTTTATTTTTATGTTTTAGCATTTATTTCATGTGAGAGCAGAAAGCACTGCCAAAAGTCTGAAATCCTTTGTGATATCACATAACTTGTTGTTATGGGGTACATGATGTTTCAGTCACCCTAGCTATATGAACCTGATTGCCTGGTATCACTATTCCTGTAAAATATATTACAAGAAGAAAGATAAAGAATAGAACTATTATGTTTTATAGTATATTTTATAATAACAATATTTGTTCCATTGGATTTCTGGCAATTTTGTTAAAATAGCTGGTCACCATTACTTTAAAGCAGTGGTTCTCAACCTTTTTAATGCCGCGACCCCCAACCGGTCGTAAGTCAAGGACTACTCAACCGGTTGTAAGTCGAGGACTACTCAACTGGTACAGCACCGTTTGCAGAATGGGACTTTTGGCGGGCTCAGCAGGGCAGAGACAGCCTGGACAATTCCTATTGGCTTTTGAAAGCCAATAGAATTAGACTCTATTCAAGAGAGTCTATTCTATTGACTTTCAAAAGCCAATAGAATAAAAGGAAGTAGCACAGCTAAGGAAAAGGAGAAAAAATGGCAGACTGCATTGTTTGGCGACCCCCGTGAAATAGTCGTTTGACCCCAAATGGGGTCCCGACCCACAGGTTGAGAACCACTGCTTTAAAGTAACGTGTGCTATTTTATTTCATACATAAAAATATTTAAAATTCCACTAGAGGGCACACAATGCTTTATAGGCTTGGTTCTTTTTAATCATCTAAAACAGATTTTTCCCTTCTCTTCCTTGTTACTTTTAATGAGTTTTTACATTCAGATTATCAGCATTAATTGATAATTTCAGCATTAATTGACAACATTAATTGCTTTCTTCCCTTCTATAATATGCTTGGATCAGGTGCTTTGCCAAAGTAACTGAAGCAGCAGTCTGGGGCAAAACCGATGACATTACCACCAAAATAAATTAAGAAAAATTAGTCAAACATCCAAACAAATCAAAAAGATAGAATGGCCACCTTGTATGGATGTTGGAGGCAGCTTGGGAACATTATCCATCCTTTCCCAGCTGTAAGTTGGCCGAGGGATGCCTTCTTCTGAATTACAACTCAGAGTGATGTCACTACCAATATTCAAAGAACCCTGAATTCTGCAGTCAGGGGCAGATGGAGGAACTGTTACAATAGAAGATGGCATGGATTATTTAGAATAGTTTTTCTTCAACATTCTTGTCATCTTTACAAATATAGACAGGTTTTTTTTTTTAAAAAAAATGAGAGGATACAGTTGCTGAAGACAAATAAGGAAGCACAGGCAAGGTAACCTGCTAAGACTTTTGTAACTACATGTAGTTCTCATCTTATGACCACAACTCGGACTGGTAGTCACAAGGCACTGTGGTTGTAAGTCGAAGCACCATGTGACCTAACTCAATTTTATGACTGTTTTTACACCTGTCATTAAAGCGAACCACATGTTTGTTTAACAAACTACATGGTCGTCACTTTGAAGCCTGTTTATGCAAAAGATTTTTTGCCACTTTTTTCCTGAAAATGGCAAAAATTCACAAAATGCAAACATGTCACCATAGGATGCTATAGTCACTCATAAATGCGAGCCAATTGCCAAGTGCCCAAAATGTAATCATGTAATTGTAGGCTTGGTTTGGTGCTCATAACTTTGAGAATAGGTATGAAGTCACTTTTTTCAAGTCTATTGTAATTTTCAACCTGTTAATCTTTAGCAACTGAGCTCAGTCATAATTGTAGGCTTAAGTATTTTTATTATTGTCCTCACAAGGAAGGTCCTCTCTCAGTTTCCACAATAAAGATAATATTAAAATGCTTTAAAGCTAAATTTCATTATCTTGATAAGGATATCAGATTTAATTTTATTATCTATATAGAGAAAGATAGTACAACTATGGAGAAAGTTAAGTACCAAATTCTTAAAAGCACCAAATGTAAACATGGTCAAGCAAGTGCTAAAAATAAACTATACAGAGTTTAAAAACAGTTATAACACTAACAAAAACTTTTGAAAATGTGCCACAATAAATCAAAAGTAGAGAGAATTCTTTGCCTTCTGTAAGTGATCTGGTCATATATTTCTGGCTCCTATAACCAGTCCTATCTTCTACTATCTGAAGCTAACTTGAATCTCTCATAATCCACCTCTGTCCCACTTATGCCAGAACGTACAAAATGTATCTTTTAAGGGAAAAAGTTGAAAGGGTCTATCTCATTTTTTTCTAGAAATCAGAAAACTGGACTGTTGATAAAGTGCATTCAGAAGGTATTCAGATTCCCCCTACTTTTGTCAATTTTGTTATGCTGCAGCTTGATTCTACAGTTGTTGACATTCATTTTTTTCTCATTAATCTACACTCGGTATCCCATAATGACAAAGTGAAAACAGCATGTCTGTAAAATTAAAAAAAGAAAAAACTGAAATATCATATTGGCATAAGTATTCAGACTCTTTGCAACAATACTTGAAATTTAGCTCTAGTGCCTCGCATTTCTTTTGATCGTTGCTGACATATTTCTACACCTTGATTGGAATCAACCTGTGGTAACTTAAATTGATTGGACATGATTTAGAAAGGCACACACCTGTCCATAGAATGCCTCACAGCTGACAATGCATACTATAGCAGAGCAAAAGCCATGAGGTCAAAGGAACTGCCTGCAAAGCTCAGGAACATAATTCTCAAATGGAAGATGTTTCGCACAACTAGGACTATTCGAAGAGCTGGTCATCCAGTCAAACTGAGCAATCGGGGGAGAAGGACCAAGAATCCGATGATCACTCTGAGCTCCAGAGATCCTGTGTGGAGATGGGACAGAGTTCCAGAAGGACAACCGTCACTGCAGCCCTCCACCGATCTGGGCTTTATGGCAGAGTAGCTAGACTAGGGGTAGGCAACCTTGGCTCTTTTATGACTTGAGTCATAAAAAAGCCACGGTTGCCTACCCCTGGGCTAGACGGAAGCCTCTCCTCAGTCAAAGCACATGAAAGTCTGCTTAGAGTTTGCAAAACAAAAAAAAGCACCTGAAGGAGATTGGTATGATGAAACCAAGATTGAACTGTTTGGCCTCAATTTTAAACATTATGTCTGGAAGAAATCAGGCACCCTCATCACCTGCCCAATATCATCCCAACAATGAAGCATGATGGTGGCAGCATCAAGCTTGGGGGGTATTTTTCAGTAGTAGGAACTGGGAGACAGGTCAGGGTTAAGAGAAAGCTGAATGGAGCAAAGTACAGGGATATCCTCAATGAAATCCTTTTCCACAGCGCTCAGGACTTCAGACTGGACCGAAGGTTCACTTTCCAACCTGACAACGATCCTAAACACACAGCCAAAATAACACAGAAGTGTCTTAGAGACAACTCTGTGAATGTCCTAGAGTGGCCCATCCAGAGCCCTGACTTGAACTCTACTGAACATCTCTGGAGGGACCTGAAAATGGCTTTCCACCGACAGTCGTCATCCAACCTGATTGAGCTTGAGAGGATTTGCAAGGAACAATAGCAGAAAATCGACCCAATCCAGATGTGCAAAGCTTGTCAGATCATACCCCCAAAGACTCGAGATTGAAATTGCTGCCATAGGTGCTTCAACAAAGTATTGAGTGAAGGGTATGAATACATATGCCAATGTGATATTTCAGGGTTTTTTTCTTTTTAATAAATTTACAGACATTTCTAAATTTCTGTTTTCACTGTCATTATGGGGTACTGAATATAGATCAATGAGAAAAAATGAATTTCAATAAATGTACAATCAGGCTGCAGCATAACAAAATTGACAAAAGTGAAGGGGGTCTGAATACTTTCTGAATGCACTGTATATTAAATATATACATGTTGGGTAAGGATGCTAGGAATTCTGACATTCTGGTCCCTGAGTGAATCTAAAGTATGCACACACACACATATTATACAACTAAGGAGTAAGTTGTATAATGCTAATATCTGATAGGTGTTGCTGGGGTGTGGGTTTCTGTAACAAAGTGTGCATGCTTATGTTTGAACTATTTTTTCCTTGCTGCAGTGTCAACAAAATCACTTTCATCTAAGACAGTTGTGAATTTAAAAGCCATTTTAAGAAAAAGAAATCCAGTTGGATGTTTTTTAAGGAGAACAACATATTGGCAACAAGATGCAGGTATTTATCTTGGCAAGGAGATAGTTAATGGGTTTATCCCTGCCTTTTCCTATACAACCTTTTCCCCAGTACAGATAGTCGTTAACTTACGGCCACAATTGAGTCCAAAATTTCTGTTGCTAAGCGAGACAATTGCTAAGTGAGTTCTGCCCCATTTCACAACCTTTCTTGCCTCAGTTGTTAAAGGAATCACTGCAGTTGTTAAATTAGTAACACGTCCCCCCCTTTCGCCCCCTCACAGGACAGCGAGATTGGTTAAAGAAGTTATCTCTTCCCGCTTTTTTCCTCAGATAGCACTTCTCTAAAAAGTGCTAACTGTGTTAGCAAGCTCAGCTCTGTGATCTTAATTAGTTTATTAGGACCCTCTGGCAGGCTTTAGGCACCTGAAATTTGCTAGTAATTGCACATATTGGGCAGAAAATGACTTTTTATTAACACTTATTAATCTCATATTTGTGAATGGTCCCTAACCAAGGTAGTCACTAAATGAGGGGTGGCTTTAATGAAAAAGACTTATGCAGAGAGTTGAGTTGCTAGTAGCAGTTTTGTAGAGAGACCAATTTTAATTATGACTTCTAACCCCTTTCCATTGTTTTGCTGCTGTGTTATTTTAGATATGAATGAACTGGGAAGAATCATAGAGTTAAAGTAAATTATAATTATCTAGTACTTTTGTGCAGAACTGATGGACCACTGACACGGCAGCAGTTTCTGTTCCAAAGTCTTGTTTACAATTAAAAATATTTTTTTCAAGTTAAATTAAAAAAAAGTTGTGCATCAGTTCACCTCCATATTTTAAATTTATCATCCATTTTAGAAAGATCATACCCAAGACATTGAGCCCAATGACTCCAATATTCCGTCCTCCTCGATCTGGTAGATTATTCACCAAACACTGGTAAGTTCCCGTATCTGAGAGCTTGGTATTGTTGATGAAGATGGAGGCACTGGTGGTTGGCATTGTTTTTGCAAACCCCACTCGCCCATGAAACTGGGCTGCACCATCAATAATCTGACCACCCTGGTAAAGAATAACCTGAAAAAGACAAGGCACCATATCATGCAAACTAAAGGCTGGAGTAAGAAAATACTTACTCATTATGCTCTAATTACAATATCTCACCTGTATGATGTGATTTAAAAATACATCAGAGTGTAGCATAAACCTGAGTTTTTGGATCCTCATTTTGTGCATCATTTCTTCTATTTTTGGTATGGAGAATTTTTCATGCTGATTTCTTTTACTTTATTTATAGTCAAAGATCACTTTTTACAAAAATGCATACAGAAAAGTAGAATAAAATAATCTAAAAGTGTGATTATATAGATTATATAGATATAATTAGGGAAACCCCTTTATGGATTACTGCCTTGTCGTGGCGAAGGGGCTTGCGTAACTCAATGAAGCTATAAGCTATGCCGTGCAGGGCCACCCAAGACGGACAAGTCATAGCAGAGAGTTCTGACAAAATGTGATCCACTGGAGAAGGAAATGGCAAACCACTCCAGTATCTTTGCCATGAAAACCCCATGGACAGTACTAATTGTCCATGGGGTCACGATGGGTCGGACACGACTTTACAATTAACAACAACAACAACAAATTAGGGAAATATAAATGTAAAATTGGTGTTTGTGTATACAGCACAAAAAGATACTGTAGAAGCCAATCTCACAAGAAATAAACAAAACCAAACTTTTTGTAATAAAAGTACATACAATATATAATAATAACATTTTAGCTTTATATATTAAAATAGAAACATGCAATATTGAAAATTCTACAACTGCTCAATTCAACAAAATATTAGAAGTTAATTAAAAAAGGAAAATGAAACTGCTGGCAAATTGGGCAAGCTGTAAAATCCAAAGGACCACTAAATGGCAGCGGTTGGCTTCAATTTAAAAAAGAGTTTCTGTAAAAGTTTAAAATGGGATTCCAGATATTCTAAGTCAAAAAATTATTTAAAGAAAAATTATTTACTATTGCACAGAGATAAGCATAAATGCCCCAAATTACTGAATTTGTATAAAGAAATAAGACAAAACTGCAGAAAAATAAGAATCAACATTTTTATGCCCATTCCTTTCTAGATTTATTACCTATTTCTAAAGAAATAGAATTCATTTCATATCAGATATTTCTTCTAATTTAATTCCATGGATTTCACTTTTTCCCTTGAAATTCCAAACTTAAATTTGAGGTACTAAGGAATCAATGTTTACAAGGTGAAAAAAGCATTTCTTCCTCATGAAGATATTCATTAATCATATGAGCCAATTTGATAGCAGGTGACAGTCTACATGCATGAGGAATATAGGGCAGCAGTTTGACAGTCTGCTGTTATGGGAAATACAGGCTAACATTTCCCAAAGTTCTATATGAGAAAGTTATATAACACTCTAAGAGGTTTTGTCAATTTTTTTAGCAGTTTCAATTTGATGACATATTTTGCATGGGTCTCCTTCCCTTGCAAAATCTAGGAACTTTTATCTAACTGAAAAAAAGAACCCTCAATAAAATTTAAGATACTATGCTCACAAGGCACTTAGTATGACACACAAGAGTAGAAAACTAATAGCAATAAACTTTGAAGAAATTGATTCTGAAAAAAATTCTTATGTTTATCTTACATCTGTAATAGCACTATGTGTTTGGAGAAAAGGAATAATTCACAAAACAAATTTAATTTCTATTAATAATGAAAGTGTTCTAGAGCTCTTTGCTGTGGTTAACTGAAATTTTATAGGCACGGTGCTAATTTTTAAAAGAATATCATCCTCTGTCTGTAACCATTATGGCATAGCTAAAGGCTACAGCAGGCCCTGTGCTTTATACAGCAGGATTGGGGTACACCTGTGGTAATCCTTTCTGTGACTTCACCACCTACCTAGTGATGTCACCTGCAGCCCTCCAGCTGCTTGAGGGAGCAAGTTGTGACTCCTGACCCTGGGAAAATTGCCCTCCCCTGCTGTAAAGGCTGCTCCAGCATGGCTTCAATGGAAACAAACAAGAAACAGGATTTTATTTGGAATTCAGTTCCCCACCAGTAGCATGCATGATAGCACCTGCCTGAAGTTACAGACAGGAAAAAACTGGTTAGGTTTTTGTAACCAAAAAAAACACAAACATATGGAAATAAATAAGAATAATAAAAAATATTTCCGTAATTCTGTATCAGCTGTGAAATAAAATGAAAGGTGAACGAATCAGTAAACAGATTAAAAGGTTCAACAATAAAAAAGTAATGAAATAACTACATATTTTTCTAGCTTGTAATATTTTTTGCTACTTGTAATATGATGATCTAGTTACCGTGTCAGAAAGTAATAAATCACTCCATGTTTTTTTTTTCTTACAAAGAGCTCTACTATGTACCGCATGGCTGAAATCATAAGACCAATGATCAGGCGCTGAGCTCCAAATATGGATTTCTGCAATGTTCTGTATTCCCTCAAACTGGGAGAAATTTTGGTGCCTATGGATTGTCTAGTTTTAAGGATTTGAAATAGTCATTAACCCTCACTTGTATTTTTTCATTTCCAAAATATCCTGAAATAGTCTGGCAAAAAATAAATAAAGCTATCACCCCAAGATTCATATAAAAGCTTAAGGAAACACAAGACTGAGAATTCCTTTTAGTCATCTGATATATTGTAGAGGTAAGTCTGGTGTAGCCTTTTCCACAGTTGAAAATTTCCAGTTTGACTAGGAGAAGTGTGGCAGAAATAATCCTAAACAAAAAAGAAAGGCAAAAGGGAGCTCATCCGTTTTTCCAGTAGGACTTGGTACCTGTTCAGGTTGGTTGGCATTGGAAAGAGGCGTGACCATCCAGATGACATTAAGGTTAGTGAGTGCAGCACTAGTGGTGAAAGTACAGGGCAGGATGGCCGTCTGACCCCGAGCAACTTCAACACTCCTGGTATTCATGAAGACCTCCAAGGGACTCACTAGACCTACAAAAAGAGAGATCAAGATGATATCTTCTATCTCCATTTTACAATGATGTAGTAATATAGTAACAAATGGGATAATCAACTTTCTGGAGACACAGACACACAAATGTTCTTAGCTTCTTCTCTTGCCTCTACTCACCACTTGCAGCCATCAAGCTGCCTCCTTGCCTCACTCTCCAAGACTTTCTACTACCATGAGGAATCCAAAGAAGTAGTAGTAACATTTTTATCCCGGTGTACAGCATGCAGAAAGCAAGTGTAAGGAAAAACAAATGACTTTGCTATATGTCTATATTACATAAGATAATAAAGGCCCAAGCAAAAATAATAGCAAAGAAAGAAAAAATAAAAGACACAAGACAAGATCAACATAGTAGCGTAAAGAGCTCTTACAATATGAGGAACAAAAAACTCAAATATAAAAAATGGAAAGAGGGGTACATAACTAAAACATAATACCAACAAATAGCTTGAATCTGTTAAGGAGGGAGTCAGGAAAGCTAAGGCCCAGAATGAGCTAAAGCTGGCAACTAATGCCAAAAATAATAATAATAAAAGTTTCTTTCAATATGTAAGGAACAAGAAGAAAGTCAAGGAAATTATAGGTGACCTCTCTAACTAATGGGAACAGAAGACAAGAAGGTGATAGACAGGGATAAAGCAGAACTGCTTAATTCCTTCTTTGCATCTGTTCTAGGCAAAAGGAAGAAAAGATCCAACATATCAAAAGCAGCAATGAGGGAGACAGAACAGGTATACAAGTCAAAATAGGCAAGGAATTAGTAAGAGAATCCCTTACAAAATACAAATCACCTGAGCCAGATGGTTTACATCCCAGGGTTCTGAAGGAGTGAGCAAACATAATCTAGGAATCACTGAATGTAATCTTTCAAAGCTCCTGTACCACAGGGGAACTACTAGAAGATTGGAAAAGAGCTGATATGGTTCTGATCTACAAAAGGAGCAAACTAGATCCCAGAAATTATAGGCCAGTCAGTATGATATCAATACCTGGGAAAATCCTGAAGATAATCAAGTGGTAGATTTGTGAGCATCTAGAAATGAACAAGGAGATTGCTAGAAACCAGTATATTTTGTTAAAAACAGATCATGTCAGACAAATCTTATTGCCTTCTTTGATAAAGTGACTAAATTAGTGGATCGGGGAAATGCTGTGGACATAATATACTTGGACTTTAGTAAGGCATTTGCCAAAACAGACCACAGCCTACTTCTAGATAAGGTAGAACAATACGGAACTACCACCAAATGGATTTGCAGTTGGCTGACCAACTGCATCCAGTATGTAATCCTCAATGGAACTACATTTATATGGAGTGAAACACGCAACTGAGCATTTGAAAGTTCTGTTTTGGGCCCAGTTCTCTTCAACATTTTCATAAATGATCTAAATGAGCAAATAGAGGAACTCATCAAATGTACAGATGACACCAAACTGGAAGGAATTACTAACACTGTAGAAGATAGATTCAAGATTCGTAAGAATCTCAACAGGGCCTATCCACTAAGATTCAAGTTCAGTGGTAAGAAAAGTAAGGTCCTGCACTTGGGAAGGAAAAATCAAATGTACAGGTACAGAATAGTGGTACCTGGTTCAACAATAGTAACTGTGAGAGAGACCTACAATAGTGGCCAAAATTGTGGAAATCTTTTGGGAAAAGTGTATTTTTGAGGTTTGATGGCTAATAACACCATTTTTTTTGGAGTAGCACCATAAAACTATATATCAATGGAAACATAATTTAATCAAGAATGTAATGCAACAAAGGTTATTCAATTATCTGTACTGTATTCTATGAAAAGTTATAGCCAAATAACCAGAAAAAAGAAGCATAACTTGCTTACGTTGATATCAGGTAGCTTTCCTTCATCTGATGGTTGCCAATGAGCATGAGTGTTTAGAGAGCCAATCAGGTGTCATCTTGTTTTGGCAATGAGCCAATCAGATCACAGTACGGTTCAGTTATTGATGTCATGTATCGAAGCTGAGAGGAGGACATTTGTCAGTGTGTTATGTGATTGGTATCAAGTTGGTTGGGGTTTTTTGTGTTCTTTCATTTAGTGAGTTTGTAAAACATAATAAAATTAAAGTAATGGTCCAAAGAGTTGACTGGTTGCCCAGAAAGCGATGTAAAATAGTATTATTAGTGAACAAGGCTACAGTTATAAAGAAATTAGAAGAAAAATTGGTGGAAACTTAATCAAAGGTGGCTGTACACTTTTCCCAAAAGGTTTCCACAATTATGGCCACTACTGTAGGTGTCCTAGTGGACCACCACAGCAGTGAGCAGTGAGGCAACAGCATGCTGCAGCTGCCAAAAGAGCCAATGCAGTCCTAGGCTGCATCAACAGAAGAATAGTATCTGGAGCACAAGAAGTGATAGTACCGCTTTATAGTGCACACTTGGAATACTCCATCCAGTTCTGGTAACAAAAATATTAAAAAGTTGCTGAGACCCTAGAAAGCATGCAGAGAAGAACAACAAAGATGATAAGGGGTCTGGAGGTTAAATAGTAAAATGAACAATTGAGGGAGCTAGATATGTCTAGCCTTTCAAAGAGAAGAATTAGGGGTGACGTGATAGCCATCTTCCAATATATGAGGGGCTGTCACAGAGAAAAGGGGATCGGCGTATTCTCCAAAGTAACAGGACAAGAAGTAATGGATGGAAGCTTGTTAAAGAGAGGTCCAACCTAGAACTAAGGAGAAATTTCCTGACACTGAGAACAATTAATCAATGGAATAGCTTGCCTCTTAAAATTGTGGGTGCTCCATTGCTGGAGGTTTTCAAGAATAAACTGGACAACAATTTGATCAGGATGATATAAGCTGCCTTGAGCTAGAAGATCTCCAAGGTTCCTTACAGTCCTCTGATTCTATGTTCTATAATCAAAGTCCTAGATCCCTCAGGGTGACAATAGGAAAGGCACCCAAATAGTTTTTAATACGAGATTTGGTAAGAAGCATAGGCTATTGTTTATATGTTTATAGCTTGGGATAGGATAGATTCCATAATTAAACTAACATAGCACGTATATAGAGTGGCATTAAAGCCAAGGTAACATGAAAAAAATGATTGTTTAAAGAGGCCACATGTTCTTTATCTTACATGTGCTAATCATACACACTGTACAACTTCCCACCTGTGAGACTAGAAACAAATGAATGTATTTACACTCATTCATTCTTATTTATATATTTAACATTTTTATATATTTATATATTTAACATATTCTGTCCTACACAATGCAAAACTCTCTTGAAATATCTACAGCACAATCTAAAAACCTGACAGTCATAAATACGATGTTGTTGTTGTTAGTTGCAAAGTCATGTCCGACCCATCGCGACCCCATGGACAATGTTCCTCCAGGTCTTCCTGTCCTCTATCACCTTCTGGAGTTCAATAAACAACTATGTAACACCATAAAAATAGAAATAAAAAAATAAAGTAAAAATAACGCCCTATTCCAGAGGTCTTCAAACTTGGCCCTTTTATGACTTGTGGCCTGGATGAGGAATTCTGGGAGTTGAAGTCCACAAGTCATAAAAGGGCCAAGTTTGAAGATCCCTGCCATATTCCATAATTGTTTATCTTAAACCAAAATAGTATTTTGGTTTTAGAATTAAGTTTACAAAAACTGCAACTATAGAATCCTAAAGACACTCAGAACAAACAGGCTTTCTAAAACAGACCAATATGAATACTTATTCCATAAATAAACAAACAAACATCCAATAATTTCTTTGCAATGATATTGCTTTTAAGTTGCAGCTTTGGGTGTGGAAGAGCAGTTTGAATGCTTTTTCCTTTAAAATAAATTCCTGCCTAAACAAAACTAGCATTTCAGGGCAGATCTTCAGCTTAGATGCTAGAGAATTGTTTTGTAACACAAAATGTATATTTATTGACTTCCAAAGCAAAGCATATGCATCTAATCACTTGTTTATTAAAAGAAAAACTATATATTACTGCACATTAAGGGCAAGACTTATTTGGAATGTTTGGAAGGGAGGAGTAAATGAAATCTCCAGTGCAGTTAATTTCTTTCTCCTTTGGCCTTGCTCACAGTATATAGTTTGGTTTATTGGAAAAATAATCTAAATCTTGCTATACTTCATTTATACTTAATCTGTAGCTTAGCTGTGGTTTGGATATATGCAATTTCTTTTGTAGAGGATTGATTTTTGCATGATTTTGCAATCCTGATGACCTTAATTATTCTATAGGCATCCTTTATATGCCAAAAGAGCCTTGACCGAGGAAAACTTTTTATAATCATGTTTGTCCTTTCTCTCTCACTCTTTCAGAAGCGGGGGAAGTACAAAGCCAAGTGCTGATTTACAGTGATAACAAAAAGCAGTTTGGAAGGATGACCTTACCACAGTTTGTGCAAGACTCTCATTTTGTTTTTTTTAACTTTCCCTCCTGGGTTTTGAGGCAGCCAAATTAGCTGAACCATGCCTGTGCTCCAGCTGCAAAAGAAGCACCCCACACCCAGCTATGATTGTGGTTGTATCAGGAGAAAACACTCATTGGAGAATTAGATGAGAGCTGGGCTGATCAAAGACAATAATAACGGAGGCAAATTGGAGAATGCATGGGGCCAGAGCCAGTTTTGAGAGGGTGACTGGAGGTGGAATATGACAGGAGCTGTTTCAGAAGACAAGTGGCTGAGAACTGTGAACAGATCAAAGAGACAAAAACAGCTGTGAACACCAACAGGCATACATGCTTACATAGCAACACCTGCAGCCAGCTAATGCTGGTAATAAACCTACCCCAACCCAGGAACTAGGAGATGTCAAAATCCCAATAGCAGCTCAGGTCAGAGCATCTCAAGACTGTGATTGAAGTGGGGTGATATACATAAAAAGCAGATTGAGTGCATTTGCATCATTACAGCTATCACCTTGACCTTTCTTGGCCATACACTGTGAATAACCCTGAGAGGCAATGAATACTGGACCTCATAAA